CCTCTTCGTCGTGGGCAAGGTGCCGGGACTGCCGGCGCTGCTCCGCCTCTGCTTGGCCTCTCCTAGGCCGCCGCTGCTCCTGATGCCCGCGCTGGTGGAGGCGAGGGATGGAGGTGCTGGTGGGACGGGTGGGGGGGGGAGGCATTCCTGGGCTTCGGCACCTACATGGGCGTCATGGAGTTGTACTGACACCTACGCGGCCTGTGGAGTCGTACGACGCCGATTCGGGCTACTTCCACGAAGGCTATCCGGCCGCTCGCCTCCATCCCACACAGCTGCTGCTGCCAACGCCGACCCAGGGCTTCTCGACCACGCCGCAGAAGGTAAGCGCTAGCTGCAGCAGAAATGGTGTTGTTGGCGACTGGATTCCGTGCTGGATGATGGATGTTTTTCGTGGTTTTGATTGCGTTTTATGCTTTTTTTATTTTTTTGGTATATGTTTGGATTTAGGTTCTAGAAGGGTCTGAAGAGGAAGCTGATGCCTCTCATCAAGAGGCTACGCATGGGGGTAATGCATTCCCTTCCTCTCTGCGATTTTGTTTCATAGATTGCCTGGTTGTCATGCCCATTGCGTTCTGCAAGATTAATGCTGGGATGCTAGAATGTGCGATTTTTTTGTAGTCTAGATGTTCAGTGTGTCCTGCAGGTAAGGCCTAAGGATGATATGAACATGTGGAGTCGTCTGGATTTTTAGATTCTGTGGGTGTAGTTTCAGAAGTGCTTTTCTCATAGAAATGATGGTTCGCAGAATTGAAATGCTTCTACTCCGTAATTTTTTAATTTCGATGCTCTGGCAAACCCTGGTTCAGACTTGTAGTAGAGATGGTTGACTTTAGTGCATCAATAATTTTGTAGTAGTAGGAAATGTAATATTTTGCTAAAGTGCAGTGCCATACTGACAGCAACTGCATGATCTGAAGGTTTTCTAAGGTTCTCAAGTTAGAACAACTTGAAAAATACTGCGTTGATGTTGAAGTTATGAACAGAGAAACCTTTACACGGAAGAACATTGGCAATCTTTATCGTAAAGCATATAAAACATGCAAGTTCAAGGAACATCTTATAGGTTTTAAGACTTTAGGCAACAGAAACCATTTGCAGTGGTCTATCTGCTAATGAACCATGGCCATTCAGTGTAATCCGTGAATGTCATATATTGTACTCCCTCCATTTTTAAATATATGACATTGGGGACAGGCTAGAACTAATTAGCTTGTTCTAAATGTCATATATTTAAATACGGATGGTGTATCCATTAACGGTCTCGTATATTGTTCTGAATCAATTAATAATCCTTGTTTTTATATTCAACAAAGTACAATAAGTATGTTTCTTTACCAAATTACTATTGTATATTCATTTGTCTCTCAAAGGTAGATAGACTCCTTTAATTTGCCTTTTTTCTTTTTTTTTTTTTTTGTTCAGTCGCATTCAAATCAAGCCATGTGAGGTGTATAGTAATTAGTTATGAGAATTCTTTTATGCATAATACTATAGGTTTCTTTTTTCAAGAGTCTGGTCTTGCAAAGAATTTTTCTATATACGTTAGTGTTACTCCTACTATTGTTAATGAGCCCATCTGTGACCACAGGGTGAGGTCCCGGGCCTACTTTTTTTTCTAGAGCCCAAGTAGTTCCAGAGTTCAGACAATGATCTCTTGCTACAGAAAATGTTACCTGGGTGTTTGTTGAGCCCTGAAAATGGCACGATCTCAATTGTCTGTTTCCAAATTTAGTCACTGCCGACACATTACAAAGCTACATTCTTTCTTAAATAGTGTAATCATTAGACGCCACAGGTTATATTGCATTTTTTTAGGATTTGCAGGCATGCTTTCTTATGTGCCCTTCTTTTTTTATTTATGAAAGAAATAATCTAGGTGAAATGGGATACTTGATGGGATGGGCTAATTAGCGTTGAGCACAATTATAAGCTTGATGTTAGCTCTCTTTCCGTTGCATGTTTATGAATCTACATCTCAGGCTAGATTATATTTATAGTCATTTGATTGACTTCTCAGATAATATTTCATCTGGCTGGGACTTCAGGCAAGCCTGTGGGCTATTCGCAAGCAATTACCGCTTCTAGTATGTGTTCCCTATGTCAATAATAATGCAACTATTTTGGCTATCTCAGAGATTAAATCATGTTGTGTAAATTGAGTCCACTGGACATCCAGATAAAGCACCAGCTAATTAGCTCTAAGGGCACCTTATGAAGATAGTGGAGCTTGAAGACCTGAAGCCATCTTGCTGCCTAGGCATGTGCTCCTGTAGGAGATGTATTTCTCTGTACATATCTTTCTAGCTGTTGGTTTGCTGTTGAAGGTGCAGTACTCGAGTAGTTTTCTTTTGGCTGTTGTTGGGTGCAATACTGGAGTGGTTTTATTATGGTTGTCGGCTTGCTGTTGTCAGAAGCAATACTAAAGTAGTTAATTGTGTTTGGCAGTAAAATTATCTGGGCCTTCTGTTTATAACTACACTGCAGGATTGCAGAGCTGACCTATGTGACTGGGTGCAAGCAAGGCTTGCTGATGTTTGTTGCTGGAATTGTTTAAGTGCGTGTTTAGTTCGCGAAAAGTGCGAAATTCGGCTACTGTAGCACTTTTTGTTTTTATTTGGCAAACAGTGTTCAATCATGGACTAATTAGGCTTAAAACGTTCGTCTCGCAATTTCCAACCAAACTGTGCAATTAGTTTTTATTTTCGTCTACATTTAATGCTCCATACACATACCGTAAGATCCGATGTGACGGGTACTGTAGCACTTTTTGAAAAACTTTTCACGTACTAAACAAGGGCTAAATTGCTTTTTGCATGAATTATAAATATTTTCTCAATCTATGTTCGTGAGATTTCTTTATATTTTTTTTGTTGACACGTGCAAGTACAACCTGATGGCTCATGAGCTCTGCAGGAAGGCTGGTAGCTGCAAAGCTTAAGAGTTGAGAAGTTTGGAGTGGAGAGAAAAAAAGTTGTGCGTGAACATGCATGTTTTGTCAATATGTCATGTCAAAGACCGAGTATTATTTCTAATTTTGTGTCAAGAGTCTTGTTTTATAATGGCATTATTGTTGAATCCATGGTAATAAAGTTGTTGATTGGCAAAGAGGTCAGTGTTTCCGTTGTAATATTGGATCCAGATCTTTTGAAATTAAAAGTGCTATGTAGGTAAATCACTTTTTGTTGTTTGATTTAGATTACCAAATGTCACCGTAGCGCTAGCTTAATTAATATGTGTCTAAATTATGACTCGGCCAAGGGGAGAGACATCCCCCTGATTTTCGTCTTAAGAAGATGGTGCCGTGACTCGAACCCGGGCTGGCTCAACCAATCGCTTCTTTGGCGTGTTGTGCTGACCAGTTGCACCGTGAGAGTGTTGGCTATATGTCTAAATTATGATTATTAAAATAAATTCTATGTCTAAATTATGATTATTAAAATAAATTCAATTCCAAGTATTCAGACGGGGCCTAATAGAAAATTGACATAGCACCTGAACTAGCGCATGTCCTGTTTTAAGGTGCATTTGGTTTAGGAGTGGGATAAGGGTCCACTTTGTCCCGATGTTTGGTTGTGAGATAAGTGAGTGAACCATTCCCAAAAGAAACTATTCTTCAAAGATATTGTCCCTTGATGTCCCTCAAAAATTGAGGTATCATGTCATTCCCTTCTGATGGTGTTGATTTTCCGTCTGCTCCTCTTCTCTTCGTCTCAACGTCTCCTTGCCTCTTTCTTCCTCTCGATGTTAGACCGGCCATGCCCCCACACCGTCCCTCATGCATGCCGCGGGGTGTATCACCTTGTTGGGGAGCACAGAGTCTGCACCGTCAAGCAAGCGACCCTTGGGTTACAGCACCGCCGGGAGGCCACGCATGAACCCTTTTGTGTAATTTGTGTTTTTGCATGGATTATAATTTATCTGTACTATTCCACCTCTGTGTATTTATGCTAAGGAATTTGCAGTCCTTTATGCTTATTTTGAATATATGTTGAGGCGCAATCATTAGTAGGTAGTAAAGATAACTCTTAGGGCTTCTCCAACAATTGTCTACATCGCAGTAACGGTGGGTTGCTACAGTAATGGTAGGTTTGAATTTCCTTTTTTTTATTTTCGGTGAATCTTTGAAAAATCACAGTAAATCATAGAAAAATTATAAAATAAAAAATCTAATTTTGTTGGACTCCACATGAGTAGATCTACATAGTGAATATATAATACGGTATGCTTTAGTACAAAATTTTTACTGTAGCCTTAGATTAATTGGGAAATCTAATTTTGTCAATAATTAATTGGAATAATTCATAGCTGCAGCTTCTATGGTCCAATTGTGGTGAAATTTTTATGGTACGCTAATTATTGTATGCTTGAACTATAGTAAAAATTTCGTACTCATCGGACTATGTATAACATAGTTATAAATAAATTCTAATTAATTACAGGAAAAAAATGGATTTTCCAATTAATTTAAAGCTACAAACCCACAGTTATTGTAGTAAACCCGCTGTTACTGTAGCAATCTGATGTAAAAACCGTCCGGGAGGTAAAATAGACGGTTTTGGAATGTTCAGGAGGTAAAACAGACAGTTTCATAGTTAGAGGTGAAGTAGATCATGTATGAAAAGTGGAAGTTAAGTAGATTTTTTCCTAAAAACAATAGGCGCCTCGAGCCGTTTGTCGTGCACGTGCCGTGCCAGAATCTCGCAGCCATCGATTGATCCAGCAGATGTGACAGCCGCCGCGCCGAGCCCAAGCTGAGCTGACGACGCTGACGCGGCTGAAAATTTCCACGAACATATAGATCCGCATCGTCGACCCATCCGTCCTCCTCCTCCTCTCGACGGTACGCCAGCCTGCCAGAGTCCGACGCAGGCGTAGCTCCCGGCCACAGCAGAGCCCACGCCTTGACGCGCTCCGTGTGAGACTGTGAGTGGAGCGTACGGGCGCCGGCCGGCGGCCAGAGAGGAAGCGGATCTAGGAGGCTCGGCTGAGTGGAGGAGATGGACCGCAAGGATGTCGGGATCCTCGCCATGGGCATCTACTTCCCGCCCTCCTGCGTGCAGCAGGTAAAATTCTTTCCCCTCACTCCGAACTGTGCGCGTTACTGTTTCTGTTCTGCTCTTATCCGATCCGCGTCTCTGGGACCTTCCCCATTGGCGCATGCAGTGTGGGGGAGATGGGGCTTCTCTCTCTGTGTCGAAGGATTGTGTTTGTCTAGGAATTGACGGAAGTGTTTGGCTAGATGGGTCTCATGGGTGGGAATTGTCGCCACTTTCTGTCCAAACCTTAGATTTTCGTGATTGCCGTGCAGTGTAATGCCGCTGAAGATCAAATCGATAGTTAGATATGTGGTTTTTAAGATTATATTCAAATATTTGAAACTCCAGTAAATTTGGAGAGTTTGACCTGCAAAGATCCGTGTAAATACGGGAAAGTGAGCATTGGAAGTGAAACGCGAGAAGATCCGGCTAGCTGGTGTTTGTTTAGCGAGCGAGAATTAGGCTCATTGTTTTTCATTTTAAAATCTCATAGCTGATGACTTTAATGTAGGAAGCACTTGAGGCCCATGACGGGGCGAGCAAAGGAAGTACACCATTGGGCTCGGGCAAGATTGCATGGCCTTTTGCAGCAGAGAGGTGGAGGATGTCATCTCAATGAGGTATGTTCTTTTTAATAGCCTAAGTTAAGCAAGACTGTTATTCACATAGATCCCTTTCCCCATCTAGTTCAGTAAAAGGAAAAAAAACTTCCCGATGCATAATTGTGTTAAAGGGAGATGCATATAGTTGGTATTCTAAGGGAGTATATAGTTGCTATTTTGGATATAGGTTTACATTCTGATTTGAATCCTCATGGAAGAGCTAATTGCTTGCAGTTTGACGGTTGTCAATTCCCTGCTGAAAAAATACAACATCGATCCCAAGTTAATCGGTCGCTTGGAGGTCGGAAGTGAAACAGTTATAGACAAAAGTAAATCCATCAAAACTTGGCTGATGCAGATTTTTGAGGTTTGTTCATCTAACTTTGTAAAATCTCCCAAGTGGCATCAACACACATGTACAAATACAGTATTTTCATGCCAACTACACCTTTTTAGTAAAACGTCTTCATTTGCTTTTACTCATTTATTTAGTTTTCCCAAAAAGTTAATTTTTGTTAGCATCTGTTCACAAAACGCAGGAAAGTGGTAATACCGACATTGAAGGCGTTGACTCCAGCAATGCATGTTATGGTGGGACAGCAGCCCTACTGAATTGTGTGAATTGGGTCGAAAGTAACTCCTGGGACGGCCGTTATGGTCTTGTCGTTTGCACGGATAGCGGTTTGTCATCCAGCCTTCCTTTAAGCATCAGTTTTGTAATTGGTTTCCCTTTTAGAACAAACAATCACTTAATGCCATCTCTATTGACTATTGTCATGTTCAGGTTTATGCGGAAGGGCCAGCTCGTCCAACAGGAGGTGCTGCTGCTATAGCAATGCTCATTGGTCCTAATGCTCCAATTTCCTTCGAGAGCAAATATAGAGCTTCTCACATGGCTCATGTTTACGATTTCTACAAGCCTGATCTTGCAAGTGAATATCCGGTTAGTTTTCGATTCATAAAACGAAGGGTGGGCCTGGTGCAAGCGGTAGAGTCTTACCGCCTGTGACCGGAAGGTCCCGGGTTCGAGTCGCGGTCTCCTCGCATTGCACATGCGAGGGTAAGGCTTGCCACTGACACCCTTCCCAGACCCTTGCAGGCGGGAGCTCTCTATTTGGGTACGCCTCTTTTCGATTCATAAAACGATTTATACTATTTTATATGCATTCCCCTGACCTTCAGAGTCCAGACCCTAGTGAATGTTTCTGGTTATCCCACCTTAGAGTTCAGCATTTTTTACAACAGCACATTCATTCCAGGTTGTTGATGGTAAACTATCCCAAACCTGCTACCTGATGGCTCTAGACTCATGCTACAGACAGTTCTGCAACAAGTGAGCTGCTGCCCCTTTTCCCCTCTCTTCCTTTTAATAATAATTAGATTAGATTTGCTTAAAATTTCCCCTATGTCCTACTGCAATTTCTGAAACTAGGTATGAGAAGATTGTGGGTAAACAATTCTCAATTTCTGATGCAGAATATTTTGTGTTCCATTCTCCATACAACAAGGTAAGATACAAATAACCAAGGGCTTTAAATGAAGATCAATAACTGCTCTGAAAGTTTTCCTTTTGTTGTTTATAGTTTCCTTAATTCTCTACTTCTGTTATTACAGCTCGTGCAGAAGAGTTTCGCTCGAGTTTACTACAATGACTTCATGCGCAACTGCAGGTTTGTACTCTTTTATTGAGCTTCCTCCTTTTCTGAGAAAAGTTGAGCTTCACTTCACGATTTGTCTTAGGTCAAATAGTATATAGCAACCAGTTCTGGAGAATCTTACAACGTCAGATGGAGGGTACTCATTTTTTTTGACACATCAAGTCCAAGTTGATCTTTTAACTGAACTTCTATACTTTTGCCAGCTCTGTTGATGATGATGCTAAAGAGAAGCTCCAGTCTTTTTCAAATTTGACTGGTGAAGAGAGCTACCAGAGTCGCGACTTGGAAAAGGTATTTTATCATTTTGTGAGGAAATTCTATCATGTAGGAAATTTGTGGTCTGATGAATTTTTTCTGCCAACTTTCCAGGCCTCACAACAAGTCGCGAAGCACCTCTATGACATCAAAGTTCAGCCATCGACTCTGCTTCCGAAACAAATTGGTAACATGTATACTGCATCCCTTTATGCTGCATTGGCATCTGTGCTATATAACAAGCATGATAGTCTGGTGAGCCCTGAACTATAAACTATTTATTGGATCTCTCTGTAACCATCGTTCTTGAATGTTGATAATTAGCTGTGTATTTCCTTACAGAATGGACAAAGAATTGTGATGTTCTCTTACGGCAGTGGCTTGACATCCACTATGTTCTCATTGAGGCTAAACAATGGCCAGCATCCCTTCAGTCTATCAAACATTGCTTCAGTTCTTGATGTCACCGAGAAGCTTCAGTCAAGACACGAGGTAGGCCTTATCGTCCACAGTTTCTAATTGACACATGCCCTTCAGTATCTATCCTTGCACTGCGCTTGACATGCTATCTCCTACCTCTTGCAACCAGACTTTGCCTGAGAAATTCGTTGAGACACTGAAGCTGATGGAACACCGATACGGCGCAAAGGACTTCGAGACGAGCAGAGACACGAGCCAGCTGCAGCCAGGCACATTCTACCTCACCAAGGTCGACTCCATGTACCGGAGGTTCTATTCCCAGAAGCTGGCCGAGGAAACATGCAGCGGCAAAACCAAGTGCTGCAACGGCTTCGCAAATGGCCACTAGTGGTGCCCGTGTCGTGAATTGCTAGGTCGCCCTGCACCGTTGCTCATCATTCTCCGTATTTTGATAATGGTCGTGGTTAGCGTTTAGTCTAGCGTGTTTCTGAAATAATATTGTTGTTCTTTGAAGCTGTTCCCCCTAGATCAGCTAGTTTTTGTATTTTATTCATCTGACCAATAAGATTCATCAGTCTCGACATTGTTTCTCTTTGTTTCTTCTTTCACTTGCAAGAGTTCTTAAAATTAGTCTGAGAAAAGTACATACTCCCTTTCAAATTCTAAATTATAAGACGCTTTGGCTTTTCTTATGTAGCTAAATATATAGTAAAAACAATATCTAAATACATAGCCATCTAGAAAAGAAAAATACAAAATGCCTTATAATTCGGAACGGAGTGAGTATAAATTATAAGACCCATAAGTTTTGTGACGAAGTGACGCAGATGTGGCTAGGGGAGCCTTCGAGTGCCCTGGGAACTGGGACTGGGAGGCATGTAGCTCAAGTTTACAGTTTGGCAGAGGGCAATAAGAGTGTTCCAAAAGTTTCCAAAACCAACTCACAATCTTGATTTTTTAGAAAGATTGAGAAAACCCCGCTCTCCAACAAGTCCAAATTAGCTCTAACCCGTCCAAACAAGTGTGCTAATGGATGGGCTAATTTTTTAGCCAAACCATCAACTAGTTATTAACCAACTAGCCAACCTTAACTAATTTGGACTAATTCTTAGCCCAACAACTAGTCCTAGTTCATTCAAACATGCCCCAAATCCAGAGTTTCTCCAAAAATCCATCCCTTGACCAAACAGTACAAGGGGGAATGTTTGGTAGAACTGATCTCCAGTGTGAAGACACCCGAATAAGCAGCAAAAAGAATGGATCTATATATCTTGTGTGAATCAAACACTTCTCTGCCGATAGCTATTACAAATCTAAACATTTCGATGAGGAAACATGATAGTGAAATCAACAAGAGTGTAATGACACGAAAAATTTGAGCGTCTCTCTCTAACTCTGTTTTCTTTGTAGCTTCTGCCAGGTTTTACACACCTTGACCTGTGAAAAAAAGGATCACGCTGACTGCTTCCCTTTCCTAACCCTATCTAATTCTGCCTCAGCTTCTTGCAGTGCAGATTTTAATAAAGTTATTCTCTCTTCGAGCTCCTCGACGGTGCCCCTTTTAAGAGCAGACTTGTATGGTGTAAGGAAGTGCTGGGAAAAGTTTTGTAGAGCTTGAACACCACAAACCTGGAAAATGCATCTATAAGCACTTACAAACATTGTAAGCTTAAACAAGAAATGCGGTGGGATAGCAAATTACTTACCTCTTCTGAAAGCAAGGGAAGCTTGGTGATGTTGAAGTCATCATATAACATATGGAACTGATCAATATACTTCTGTTGCATTTTTATCCGTGCTTTTAGCAGTTTTGACTCGACAGCTGCAAGAATGAAAAAAATGAGTAGATTAAAACAACTGGACAACTGGAGATATTGATATACAAAGGAAAGGTCCCTAAAAGTACATTCCTTTTCTGCTCCTATCATTGACGAATAGATTATTCGAAAGATGTTTTGTGCTGCCTTTTAGAATTTTCCTTTTCCTTTTTTCTCGTTTGAAATAAAGAACATCTAGGTTTTTCAGCCATACTACCAGAGCTCATGAGAACAATTTTCTTTACTTGAAGAATAGGTCCTAATGAAATTTTAACTGAATGCGGTGGATTTAATTTTCCAAGAAAGCTTGAGGTCAGTGAAATTGACGAAGCTGATTTTTGTACTTACCTTCCTCATCAAATATAACTTGATTAATAATAATATTGTGTGAATCAATCTCAAACTTTGCTAACTCTTGCACCAATCTCTCTGTTTCATACAATGAAAGAAATTCCGGGATACAGACACATACAAAAGTTGTCAAGTCCTGGGAAGAAAACAAAAATGGAAGTCAGAAGGGGGTACAATCAACAGTAGTTGCCTAAAGAATTTAGAGCATGCTTGGTCAGTTCATGTTCACCCAGCAGTGATCTTGTGTGCTTAAATTGGACAGGTGCAGACACTATCCTAGAATGCCTTAAGCAGAAAGCAACAAGCATCTGGCGTGCTGTTAAAAATTGGTCTGTACAATACAAACTGTAAGTTTTGAGCATGTAGTGTGAGTCAAGTTTACAATTAAACTTTTGGTTTTAAGCAAGAAGAGCAATCAACTGAAATCTTAAGAGCACTAATGCTTTATTTAGTTCCAAGTTTCACTATCATGGGTTTCCCATGTGTGTTCTCACTATATCTTTTAACTAGTGCTAATTTTTTGACACCAGGTAATAGCATAATCTGTTACTAGTAGATTAAGGAGCATATCTGCTTCCATACAAGGTAGGGAGTCTTACTGGATCTTTAAATTGCCTGTTCACTTGTTCGATCACGTCCTTCATACCCTCAAGTTTCCCAAGCATTGCATCCTCGTTCAGCTCATCGCCAAGACCAAACAACCGACTGGCCTGCCAAATGCATTCATTATTATATTAGCTATACATGTGTGTTCCCATCTGGGTAGGTCCAATGAAGAATCTGCGCATGCAAAAGTTCGCCATGTACATATTACCATTTAACCTCAGTATGAACAAAGGTATGTCATCAAGTCAATATTTGCTTTTTTCCCCAAAAGGTGAACTCATGATATCATAGTATTTGCAATACTGAAACATCAGAAATTTTCTTTGGGATAAGCTTGGCGGTTCAGGCTCTGCTGAGCACATCACAAGATATCTCTATCATTTATTTGGTTATGATTTAAAGGTGCAACCTAGTCCCCTTAATTAATTGATATGAATAGTGTGTTATTTAGAGAAGCAAATAACGAATCAAACACATGCCCTAGCAACTTAAAAAAAAAAGGTTTTCCAGTATATTGAAATGTATATAAAGTACCTGATTCAACAGACCACCAAATCTATTTTTCAATTCCATCATTTTCTCAAGACCCTTCTCCAGGGTTGCTGGGAACTGAAGCAACCGTAATGTATGCCCTGTAGGAGCAGTATCAAAAACTACAACCGAGTAATCCATTGTTTGGACTAATCTGCAGTGAGGAAAATATCATATTCAGAAAGTTGCTGGAAGCCAAGAAGTACCATTTCTGGGAATAACAATGATAGTCAAAATATAACTGCCTTGACATATTGGAGACATTGAACAGGTGGAATTAGAAAGGGTAGCAAATGAAATATAAAATGGATGGTAATGGAAGTAACTGGTCATATTGGGAAGAATGGCAAACAACTGAACGGAACAAAACCTTACTTTAGCATTTCAGCAAAACTCATAGCTTCGTCTACTCCTGGAATCGCATTTGTCAGTTCTGAAAGGAATCCCTCCATTCCTTCATTGGATAAATCATCATTTTCTACCTTTGGGTCAATTTCCTGCAAATAAATTTATGAAATGAGACTATTCAGCCAAATACCAACTCTAATAACATGAATCAAGCTACCTTTTGGAAAAAGAATAAAATTAATGAAATGGCAGATTACTCTTAAAAAATAGAACTCATAGGACAATAAATGAAACCTGTTTTACTTTGTATATCATTTGTGAGAATACAAAGAAATGACTAAATGGATTTTGTATCAGTATCATGCTTGATGTGGATGAAAATACAAAGAAAAGGAGGCAAATGCTAAAATCTGGTGCTTAGTCAATGGTCATACATTTTTTTTAATACCCAAGTGGAACATGTTCTAAATGAAACTGAAATAGAATGGAAGCCAACCACTTAATTTGTTATTAACCTCTTCTTAGCATAAATAAAAAAAATTGCTAAAGATTAGGTACTTCTTTTGTACAAGTCTGCTACCTATTCTTCAACTTCCGTAATCAACTCAAGAAATAATGTGGAAATCATCACCATATTATTCAAGGAGCCTAATCACCACTTGGGATGGTTCATGAAGATGCAGGCCCCATCACTGAGCAACAATCCTGTGACTGTGACCCACATGCCTCAAAGTACAAGCACAAACCCAAACCAACCCCGAATTGGTAGCTTTGCATCTCGTATAGCCTGGCCTAGGTAAATGCCTATGACTTCCATACATGGAAAATTAAGGGCAGCATGCGACTTTTCAATCTGCATACTGCCTCTCTCCTCAGACAACCCTGCTGACATCCCTTCCCAAAAATTCGGTGAGGTCCAATTTAATCAGGCAATCACCATGCGCCAGGACACGCAGCCTGCCCATCCAATCCTCACAAGCACCACCGAATTGGGTGGGGTCAAGTGAAGACGACCTCGCGAGAAGAGTGGATTGGAGCCGTAAGACGGAGAAAAGAATTAGGGGAATTTTGCTATTCTTTTTTGTGTTTATTTATTACCATGGCGTAGAGGTTGGTGAATCCGCGGACGAGGGTGGGGAACTTGGTGAAGCGCTGCTGGAAGGCGTCGCTGAGGTTGTGCGCAGGGTCGGTGGAGATAACTAGCACGGACTGGCGGACCCCGGCGAGGAGGACGGAGAGGATGGAGCTGCAGGTGGTCTTGCCGACGCCGCCCTTGCCGCCGACGAAGACCCACTTGAGGGACTCCTGGTCCAGGAGGTTCCGCACCGTGGGCTCCGGCGCGTCGCCGGCGTCCACTACCGCCGCAGACGCCATGCTCCGATACCCGCGCGGTGATCGGGGTGGGCGAGAAGGGGATGAGATCTGGTGGAGTGGAGAGGAGTCGATCGGCGGTGGCGCGCCTGCTGGGGGCAGAAGCGGTACAGGAATTTGTCTTGGTGGAAAATACCTTTCCTCTTCTGGACGTTTTCAACTTTTCATCGTTTTTTATCGTTTAATTAACATTTCTCCTCGGTCCAACAGGGTAAAATTTCTCCGATCAAAAAAGAAAAACAAGGTAAAATTTCTCACTTAAATTCTTTTTAAATACTACTGTCGCATTTAGGGTGCTGTTTCAGAGTACGTACCCCATAGTATCCTTCGAGAGTACTCTACTTTTTTTTCTTTTTGGCCGGGA